AACCAAAGAAGCAAGATAGCATCAAGCACACAGGAGACAACTTTGCACATATCCTTCGAGACATCAATGTACAATTCTGAGCTAGCAAGGTAGGCTGACAGACCTGGTGCTTAACTCCGCTCAGTATTGCATCCATAGCTGCACTTTTCACAACCACAGAAAAAAACACGCCAATTTAATGCGTTAGCTTGCAAATTGGTTGCTTGCTCACACCGATGATTCCCACACCTGGTAATAAGTTGCACGCCACAAAAACAGCATTCCATGCATGTTCTGGTCTTGTTCGACAAAGGCGTGGGAGCACTGCGAACGTCTAGCTCCACTTGTGAAAGCACTAGAACATGGCGTACCTGAAGGGTTCGGACAGCCAGCTTTACTCAGATCTGTTCCCCGAGACAACACGACTGGCGCTAACTCTACGACCACACACGCGATACGTTATTGATTCATCTGAGTAGGAGCAGCAGCTTTCTTTGGCGAAGTGGTAACGACAAGATGGACACGGCTCTCCGTCCGCGGGCGGGCGCTCGGTTCAGTAGGCCTGGGGCGAGGCTGGCACCGGGACGGCCACCCGCCGACACAGCAGGCGTCTAGGGCGGCGTGGGGGAGCGACTGGCCGAGTCGGCCGAGCCCTGGCGGCAGATCGCGGCCGCCGGCCGCGCCGAGAACTCATCCGGGTCGAACACCTGCCGGACACGCCCACCCGGGTCACACCAGACACGCGCGCCCGAGTCACACCAGACATGCGCACCCGGGTCACACCGCGCACGCGCACCCGGGTCACACCAGACGCGCCGCCCATGGGTTTGGCCAAACGGGAGGCGCGGACAAGTTACGAAAGAGACGAGGGGAGGGGTCGAATGTCGGAAGCGGGGCACGCTGCGCGTAGGAGACACGGACGAAAGAGCACCTTACGGATTGGATCAATCCACGGATTGTGGATATACGCGGGCAGGGTTGGATCACATCAGAAATTCCCACCAAAACATGGATGAGGATTGGACCGGATTCTCAACTTTGCCCGCTCGTACGGACTGAATGGATTGAAAACCAATGAAATGGAAATTATCATCAAATAGCCCCTAAAACGCCCCATAGAGATATGAACTAGAAACATTACCTTTTCACCAATGAAATACAACAGCCTAAATTCCACGCAATGCGCGAATAGCATACAAGGCACATAACTGATACACATATGCCTCAAACAAATTTTCTGATAAACAGACCATGTTGGGAAATTGAGCTAGTACCACTCATATATGCCGACATAGCAAATTATACCTGTCATTCCTTCCAAGATAACTAGGATGCCTAATAATCTGCTGACCTAGTTTATCATCACATAACCACCATTGTCCTGATCTCGCCAGCAATCCCACTTACTTCCAATGGGTGGCATTGCACTTAAGAGTTGAAAAAACTAGGCAGGAGCTTGTTTTGTTGGTGGAAAACGCACCGCACTTGTGAAATCCTAGCTTTTGTAAGAGACAATTTTAAAAATAAACCCCATGGCAACACTTGAGTTTCTGTTTAACTACCCAGTTAACTAAGCTTGAGTTCAGCGCCAGCTTCAAATGGCATGTGCTGATTCAACTGTTCCCCCCTAAGGTGTCTACTACAACGAAGTTCCACCCTCAGTCTTAACTTCTTCATCCCCTCCGAAATTGATGCACGTCACGCAATGAGCATGTTGTCCGCTGCAGCCAGGAACCAAAATTATCTTTCTCACCCTGCTGTTAGTTGCTTGATGTGAGCTAGATCCTCTTTGCTCTAGGCAGGACATTTCGGCATTAGTAGGTACTTGTTGATTCGTGTCCCACCTTTCTACTCTCACTTGCATTTCCCACGCACAACTTGGACGCCATCAATGCATTTGTACACTTGTGATTCATATGCAATGGTTCACAAGGTACAGTGCATACAACGCAAGTCAGGAACTCTATGGGAGAACATACCGCCCAATACCGCACCAATATAGCGGATCGTTTGGTATCAAACACGTAGCTGTACCTTGTCAGGTTGCTGACCTACGGCAGGTCATAGTCAGGCCATGGATTCAGCGAGGTCAATTTCTACGGAATCATTCAATCTGATGCAACAGCGGAGTGTTAGACGAAGCCATACATCTCTGAGATACTTTCCTATGCATGCGGCTTTCGATATTGCATCTGAATTCATACGCCACATTGCTTTATTTCAGTTGTAGGGTTCGTCTGGGATGATTCTCACAAGAAGGTTAGATATTTCTCCATTGGGATAATAAATGACGATGTCTATTTTGTGGTCGTTACTGCCTTTTACACGTCGAGATTATTTCCCGTACTTTTTTTCTTGTAGGCAGATGCCATCTGATTTTTAGAATAAAGTTGGATGACTGTTTGTTTGTCTTGTTTTGGTTTGCTGTCAGAGTGCCTTGTTATGTGCCGTTGCATTTCGTTTTCAGCGTCGGAATTTGAAAAAAACTGTTATTCACCAAAATCTGTCTGCCCCGTACCGATTCCGGATGCAATACTGTTCAATCAGAACAATGCTTAAATACACGTCTCGGGAATGACTCTATGCCGCTTATTTTATGGCGTCGAGGACACTCACTGTCAGCATTTAAACACCGTCCGTTGTTGGTCTGTTTTCGGTATAGAGTCGTTCTAAATCACTGTCCTCGTCCTTCAACAGTTACGTCAAGGAAGGGCTTTACATTTTGCACACTTAATTCTTTTGTGAATGATAAACCAGACTGTTCTTCAAATGTATTTCTGAGGCGTTCTGGTTGGCACTGTCGCTAACCACCACAAAGACATCGTCTACGTAGCGACAATGAATGTCCGGTCTCATGGTCATTTTCAAGTGTGACGGCTTCTACATCTTCCATAAAGAAATTGGCGAACAAGCGTCAAGAGGAGAGCCCATCGCAACACCCTAAATTTGGCAATACATTCGTCCATCAGACTCGAGGAAGGGAACCTCCCGCGTGCACGCTTTTAGTAGTTGTTCAAGAAGGCGCCCCGAGATTTTGAGAGGACTTTTGGGACTTTTAAAAAGTCATTTAAACATAAGTGGATTGGCACAGGCCCATTTCATTTATTTGAGTGACTTACCAAAAGACTTGGTAAGTCGGACTGGACCGGATTGGACTCAGGAATCTGGGAACGGGGACTGGCGAGCGGATTCTGAAAACTCAGTCCGGGAGGTGCTCTAACGGATAGTGGTCCACGGGGACACGCGTGGGCAAGGGTCAGGCGGGAGACACGCGCAGAGGTCAGACAGGAGACATATACAGAGGTCAGACGGGAGACATGCGCAGGGTCAGACGGGAGGCACAGGCAGAGGTCAGACGGGAGACACGCGCATGAGTCAGACGGGAGACATGCACAGGGGTCAGACGGGAGACATGCGCAGGGGTCACACGGGAGATACGCGCATGAGTCAGACGGGAGACATGCACAGGGGTCAGACGGGAGACATGCGCAGGGGCCAGACGGGAGACATGCACATGGGCCGGACGGGAGACATGCACGTGGGTCAGACGGGAGACATGCACAGGGGTCAGACAGGAGTCACGCGCAGGGGTCAGACGAGGGACATGCGCAGGGGTCAGACAGGAGACACGCGCAGGAGCCAAACAGGACGAACAAACAGCTGTTACACGGCTACCCTGCGGTCACTGAATGGACATCGGCGAAGGTTTCTCGCGGGGATGCAAGCCAATGAGCACGAAATGACGCAGCAGTCGGCGCGCCCTTAAACACCAACAGCTAATAAAGGACGCAACCCACATTTTAAGTAAGCGTTCACAACGGTCTATGGGCCTATTGCCAGACGGGTCCACCACACCATAGGGAGGAATGGAAGGACGCAGACTGACTCGATCGTTGATACTACACTGGTTCCCCAGGAGGAATTAACCCATCGCACGCCGCCGTCGCATGCAGTGAAGCGCGGAAAAGGGACTGTGCGAACACGAGGACTCGTCGGACCATGGCCGGCTGGATGCAAGTGCGGGGCCTGTGAGGGGGGGGGGGGGGGAGGGGGTACCACAGACCTTGGGCGTGGCCCGCGTGATGGTGGGGTGTCGCTGCCGGACCTCGGCCCAGCCCCTGGGTGGGTACCGGGCCACCGCCGACCGCGAGAACATCAGCAGCTCGGAGCGCGTGTACACGCGCGTCGGCTTGGCGGCGGCGCGCTCTGTCAACGACACACGCACACATGCCGGCGTCAGAGCCACAATACAAGCCGGACAACAGCGGGACAGCACCGTGCATACCTCCGCAGACGCAACCACGACTGCCCAGTCAGCAAACGTGACGGACAAGCCACTGGCACCCAGAGAAACCAATCAAATGTTACAAAACTGAAACCACTGAACAAACCGTAGCTGGCCCGGCACAAGAGGCGATTAACATGTTACACCCATGGCAGTGATGACTCGCCCAACATCGTCGTCCAGCGCCCTGAGGGCCGACCATCGCCCACCGACTGACCGGCAGCAGCTCCGACGATGCCATCGACCGAGGAGGAGCTCGGCTGGCGCCGGGTGAAGACCATGCGGCGCTCGGACGGCGCGCCGCCGCCCTCGGCCGCCGCCTGCTGCTGAGGAGACGGCAGCGGCGACGGCTGGGCGGCCGGCGCCGGCGCGAGCGTCAGCGGCTCGGGCCGCGGCGCCGCCACCACAGACGCCTCGGCCGCGATCAGCTCGGTGGGCGAGGGACAGTCCCGGACGCGTCCGTCACCGCCGCTGCGGCGTCACACGGGCGTCAGCTCGGCGGCGCACCGAGCCACGCCCGGAGGACATGAGCAGATCACTCATGACGGCAATGGCACGCTTAACAAGGTAAGATTATATAAGATGAAAACATAGAGACGCATCATATGCATGCATGGTCGGGACGCATCGAACGATAGATCCGGTGCTCAATCACGCAGAACCCAGCAGTATACACACGTGTAGCACACATGGCAGAGTATGCGCTGACCAGGCACCGCGGCTGGGAGGGTTTCACTTACCCCATTAGGCTGACTTCCGCCTCCGGCACAACGTCCAGCGCGCTCGAGTCATCATCCATTATCGACGAGTTGAAATACTCGTCCAGTACAAGCTTTGCTGTCTGGAAACAGACCACACGTCACGAGCACCACCTTCCACAACACTTCGGTATGTCGTTATTGTTCATATCATATTCAGGGAGTTCTGTCTGTAAGACCACCTAATTTATGGAAGAAATCCTAGCCCACACCCAACCATCCGTGCCGACAAATCGACATCAAAACCACGGCCAAAGCAACGGCGCGCTTTTCTACTTCCTTGCTTTCTTTCAAACCAGATGGCTTACCTAATGCCATCTAATAATATCAGCTCGCCGGTGCTACATAATGATGCCACCGTTGATTGCTAACGTCCGGCCTACAGCTGTGCCGCTGCCCATCTGCGAAGCCAACCCAGACGCCAAGCATGGCGCGTTTACTGCAATCCCTTCTTACGTAAGTTGTACAGTGCAATAGCCAGGAACATTATTCACATAGATAAGACAGAAGTAATCGTCTTATTCCTCAGAGAAAAACCAGGAGGTCTTTAAAAACCTTTATCTCGATTCTCCTGGTTTTTCTCCGAGGAATCAAACTATTAATGCAGCCACTTCTTAGTTGTCTGTGACAAGTGTGGATTCTGAACACTTACCTTCACAACATCGACGTTTTTCCCGGTGAGCTTGATTGAGTGTTCCCCAACAAACACAGTGTACTTGAACTCTCCTAATGACCCGAAATCTCCAGAAGCGTTCTTTCTCGGACCTGAAATGGGACAACTACTGGTTTGCCGGTGTCATGAAAGTTTGATTCGACGTGCAGACCTTGGGATGATACGCAACACAAAGCCCAAAATGTTGACAGCCATATGGAAGGCAATAATTTAAGGGACAGGCATGATATCACATCGTTATGGCACACAACTCAATGAAATCCATCAACCTGATGTACAAAAACGCCAGTACTGAATAGCGGTTGTGTTAAGTTGCAGCAGCCAGACCAAAGTATCACCGGTAATTCAAGTCACCTCGGACAGGTGAGTACGCCTAGCAATGCCTTGGCCGCTCACCGGTACACTACTAATATGTCGCTTCAAGATACCGCATATCATTAAATTGTACACTGCTGGACATGACAAGCAAAATTGGCCGTTTGCACGACGCAACAGGGCCGGCAAATCCCGGCTCTCAAAGTTCAGGGCCATTCACCCCGCAGCTGAAGCGATTTTCTACATCAGAGAGTGCCTATCATGGATAAGCTTTCTGAAAAACTCGTTTGGAACCGGTCAGCTGTTTTCCAGAGACATTGGAATATTTAGATTAAGTTCGGAATTTTATGTGTCCCCCGTGTCCCAATAAAAACCGCGACTTATCACCTTTCTCTCGCATTGCACGCAACGTACAAACCTGCAACCGTCCATGAGGCTAGCTTTCGGTGTTTAGGTATTGCCCTGGATGCCTAATGGCAATACGTGCCCTCCTAACGTGAAGCTCAGGTACGTCAAGGATAACATCGATTTTGCCAACGTGACGTACTTGTTTTCGCCTTGCACGACAGTATATTAACGATTGGCGATGTCTTACAACAGTGTGCCATCTTTCAGAAGGGCACTAAGTCGTTTTTATTGTTTGGAAGACTCCATAATCCGGCCCGGAGGACCAGGAATGTCAGATATGACAGAACCCATGCGTAATTGTCATTCACAGACCAGCGGCCGGTTGGCCCGATCGCAATCGTTCTCTACACATTCCAGGACCACAACAAAAATTAAGAATGAGTTGTTTTGTCGATCTTCTTTTCTCCCTAACACAGCAGCACTCCACTGACGGGCGAAGCTGTTTAAATAAAATACAATACATACACAGCAAAAAGCAGTATGGACATAATCAACCGATGCCATCAAGTGAAGATGCCACAGAGTTAAAACACACTTGATCGCTTGAGCTCTTAAAATGCCAAGGCTGCAATGAAAGGCATCCGTGCCAGTGTCGCTGGCTAAAAAAGTTTCCAACGTTTGACAGTCTGCAAAACAGACCGCTCTGTACAGTCTGCACACGACCGCAAGTTGCAGCGAGCTGAGTTCGGATGCGTGTCCATCGAGGCGGAACAAGCAAGGGAAAACAGCTTAGCAAGATTTAAGAACCCGGTTTACCTTGGAAGATGTTTCTCAGAAAGAGTAAATCATGCTGCACTCTTCGTGCTGCTAGGGATGGGATTTTGGAACGAAGCAGAAGGCTGTCATAAGAAAGAGAGGCTGCTTACCCGGCTAATGCGTGAGCAAGCAATCAGATATGAAACTCGTGCTGAACTGGATCGACCATACTGTGTGGGAATTAGCCACCCCGTGCAGACCACGCTACAGTATTCTTAAACCGATCGCAAGTTTCCAAAATACGCAGCGATCATTGCACGTCGGTTGAATCTTGACCAACTGGCAACGACTTGGACGGACCGAATGGGGGTACCAAGTGCTCGATTGCCCTATTGACTTTGTCAGATACATGCGAGGTGGAGGTTAGTTTGATATCCGGATTTACACCAAGGTCACTAATTTTACACACACGTTCAAGCTCAGTTCTACCGACGAACTACTTGGCTTGGGCGGGAGCAAACCTGAGGGCATCCTGAACGTTTTGAATTTTTCCGGTTAAGGGTCAGCTCCCACCCGTCCGATCACGCTACCAGATGATCAAGATCATTCTGCGGCAGCGGGCCGTCAGCCGGGGACGTAATTTTGAGGAAAATTTGTACCTCATCAGCATATCAAAGGCAGCCGGATTCAATGACGTACGGAAGAGTGTAAATAAACAATGAAAAAATGGTAGCCAAGAGTGATCTTTCCGAGACGCCGGAGGTCACCCGCTTCCAATCGGAAGTTTTTCCGTTGATGGCAACCCTCTGACGTTGTCGGACAGATACTACACAAATCACTGCATTGTATATTTCCTCAAATGGTATGAATGTTTCAGCTTGTGGATTAGGAGCTCATAGTTAACGCTCCGGCAAACAGCCGTACAATCAGTGTAAATAGCATCCGTCTGTATCGGTAACCGTTCCACACGGTCTCCAAAGCCCATTCGAGGTAAGCACATAATTTTGTGCTGCACGAACACCTAGCAATGAAACCACGCTGATGACAGCACAACACAGGTGAGACGTGGCGGAACAGCTTGCCGGTGCCCCGCCCTCTCACCGATATTGTCGTCCGAGTTGGCGCTGTTGAGGCTGCCCGTGGAGCCCTCGCCGGCGGTGAGCGAGTAGACGGAGCCGCGCTCGTCGCGCGCCGGCGACGCGTTGCGCCGAATCACCTCCTCGATCAGTTCCCGGGCCCGGCTGCGTTGAGAGGACGACCGTCAGTCGGCGCCGCTACAGAGCGGCAGCCAACACACGCCGACATAACCAGTGCTTGGACCGTCCGAAGACTGCTGCCCAGCAATGAGTACAGGAGGTAGCGATAGGGAAATGGCTGCGCACAAACAGACACATTAACCGGGCTATGACAAAGACGCAATATCCCAAAACTGGACTGCCTGAGGACAGGATCAACACGGAGGACAATAACAAAGTTATCACTGGAAGTGACGACGCTCACTCACAGCACGTTCTCTTCACCGGGTCCGGTTATCTGCACCAGCCTCTCCTTAGCGCCTGCCGCCACTGGAACACGGACCAAATTCAAGCCCCAGCGATTGCGTGATGCACATGTCACGCACACCCCGGGACAAGGCAACACTCTGACGGACACCACCAGCGGTCCCTGCGACGCAGCCTTTTGGGACGGCGGAAGCGAATAAAGCGGCAGAGTGCATGGAGGCAGTTTGAGGGATGGCTCTTTGTCAATGTTTTAGGTGGGGCGGAAAGCCTGCCACCTGATTTCGGGGATCGTGACCAGCTTGAACAGCAGCAAAATTCTGCGCCGGTCTCAACCCCATGCGGATATGAAATGCGAAACGACATGATTGAACAAATACTAGCCTGCACATAAAGAAAAGCAATTAGAAAATGAGATTCAAGGAAATAAAAAGGGCAGTGAAATTTACTTGAAAAAGCGGGAAGCGAATGATCAAAGTCGCGATTGTTAAGATTTCACTTAAAACTGTGTGCTAAATAAGATAATTTTAGCTGTCAGTTGCACTTATTCAATTTTTCATACAATTGAGTGTATGAGCTACCGGCATATTTCAAATTGCACCCAATATCTGCTTGAATAAGTGCAACTTACATGACCTTCTGGGGCACTACGGTTAGGACAGGGTAATTAGGGCCACTGGGACACTAGGGCAGCCCGCAACAAAACATCCCTCGACTAACTACGCGGAACGCTGAGCCGTTTCGTCTTGATGCATGCTATACGTTTTCAGTTTCCCACACATTCGTTCCTTGCTCTGTGGCAACCTTAAAACTTTCCCTGTATGCGGGTAAATGCATCCTGTGAGTGGGTATGCATGCTTTCAAGGGCGACAGCGTATATGACAGTAGTCTGAATATGACATCACTCTTGGTCACAGCGTTAACACGAGATCAAATGAACGAAACATTGCATGATGCAATGCATGCATTACACTGTATGTGCTTGGTCTGGAGGCAGACTTATGCTTGACACCCGCTTCGGCATAATCAGCCCAACTCCCGCTCGCAACGCATGGCGCTGATTCCAAATACGGTTCAGAGCAGCCCAGCAGAACCATGAGTCGTCTTCGATTCAGACTTAACGAAATATGGCCCGATTCCGGAATCAGTTCCGATGAAGTTGATTACGATGATAGCAGTTCAGGAGGCAGTCCTTTCAATGGTCTTATACAAGCCTAGATAGCAATAGGGCTGCTTATAACGGTGCTCCATTTGGAGCGTACATCACATGTCCGATGACAAGTATGCCATATTGTGTACTCGTCTTCTTGAGTCGACTCGCCAACGACTTGGCTTATTCAAAACCCATCTGACCCACACAAATCCAGGGGATCGGCTCCACCCTGAATACATACTTGTAATAGAATACTAAACACTACGAAAACTAATACTCCGGTTTCGGAGCCGATTCAGACTACATCCGACATACATGTGTCTGAGAGGGCGCCTTTTCAATAGAAGCTGTCATCTAGGTCAAACATATTGAGGGTCACTTTTGGCGTAAGCCCAAGCCCTTTTAAATGTTCGCAAAACCGAGTCAAGAAAAGCTCAAAACACAACCAAGCGCGCAACGAAGTTCATTTCGCATGCACATGCTATTCTACGCGGGCCACAACTAGGTGCGAAACATGCTGTTACGAAGCGCGCTAGCGCGGGGTACTGCCGCCTCCTGCACATCGCAAGCCACTGGCGTGTCACAGCTACCGCACGGAACACCAACGCTGCGCTCGTCACATGAATCCCCGGCTGTGCGACGGTGCTGACGGAGCACTAGCTGCCCTTGAGACGCATTTCCAGTCCGCATGGGTGTGCTAGCCTCTCCATGCCTCGCGGAGGGCACGTCCGGCGGTGTAGTGGGAGGTGCAGAACACTGTCGGGCCGCACAGCACTCTACGCAGGGGCGGCAGCGCCGCCAGTGCTGGCTGGCCAAGGTGGGTCTCCACCGAAACGGCATGGCTCACGGAAATAGCGGCCGACGAATTTACCAGGCAACACGGTAAGCGTTTAGACGACAAGGTCACGGATGGGAGACTATGCGTGCGTGACGCAGGAGACGGCGGAGCAACGGTCCAGCACGGCAGTGTATGCGTGTCGGAAGTGATATTACAGCCTGGCTCTACTCCGCCCAAGATGAGATACGGCAAGTGCTGTCCGAGTAAGAGCGCATCTAAAAAAAAAAGATAGAAAGGGCCTGAGTGAGTGGCCCAGAGATGACAAGTAGAGCGCGTCACAGAGTAGCGAGAGCGCCGGAGCGCGGCCGGCGCTCCGTCCGGGGGCCGTCACACCGGCGGCCGTCCCAGCGGCAGGGCGCCGGCCAGCCAGCTGGCGGCGAGCGGTTAGTGACGACTACTGCAGCTGTTAGGGTCTCGCGCGACCGTTACCTCGCTGGAACGAAATCACCGTTTGGCTCATCTCCTCTATCTTATGGACCCGTATGCCCTTCATGCCCATCACTGGAAGCAGTGAACAGTGTGGTTAGGGCTCCAGGGGTTCAGGGGGAGCCACCAGTAGACGGCTCACGCTCGCCGCCGCCAGTGCAGTGGACGACTCACGCTTTGCCATTGGAGCAATCACTACTCCACCCAGACTGGACGTTCGGTCATACCGCACAATGCGAGTCAGTCATCCCTTCACCACATATCATACAGTATTCAGGCTGCAGGCACCATGACCTGCATCCAGCGCGACGTCGATGTTACTTGTGAGCTACACCTCCCACGCGAGGACGCTTCTTCCTTTACCCGTGCACCGACCTCGGCGGCAACAAGGACACCACAAAGGCACAGTGATGCAAGTCCTGACCTGCGCATTAAACGAAACCAAAGCGGCTCTACACCAACACCGCCAAACGCCGACCACCAGCCTTAACCAGAATAGCGGCCATCAGCTGCCGGCGCCAGCTCACCCTTGCCGGAGTCGCAGTTTCGGATGACTACCTCGTCCTTGTACTTGCCCTGGATCTTCGTCGGCTTGGGGTACTTTCCTGAACCACGAATCACCTCACCGGGCGTGAGCAGCGGCGGCAGCTGCGGTGGCTCGGTGGCCACCGGCGAGGCCAGCGGGCCCGGCGTGGCCGGCGGCTCGCGTGGCGCCACGCCGCCCGGCCCGGCCGGCTGCTGGCTCTGTTGGCAGCACCGGACGTCCATCACACGCGGCACACACGGGGAGGGTGGCAGGGGACGGCAGCCGGCCGGCGCACGGTACAGTGCCGGTAAGGGGCGACACGACCAGAGTGGGTAAACGAGTACAGCGATGTCACATTCAGCGCATTATGTCAAAGACCGGCGGGACGAGAACATTACCCAAAGATGCAGAATGAAAGAAAACGAAACGTAGCAGCCATATCATGCCCCGGATAGAACTTAGTAAATCAATATTATCATCAAGAAGTGACCCCTCAACCACGTCAAACCGCCAACATCAAGCCGGCGAACGTTGGATCGAATGGCGAAGGCCGATGCCATACCGCACGGTGCGCCATGCATGCCCCGTCTGGTACGGGTGGTGATCTTCCGACCCACCTCAATGAGCTGCAGCATCTGACGGTAGTAGTTGGTGACGTTCTCGTTGCAGGACCAGGGCGCTTGCTGCGCACGCAGCTCGACCAGCTCGAGCAGGCGGACGCGAGACGCCCGGTCCAGTCGGTCGTCCCGGCAGCCGTTCCGCAGATGCACAAAGCGCTTGTCCAGCTCGTCTGGGCCGCACATGGGGACACGGGTCACGGGCCCGATCTCAAGGCACTTGACATCCACGGGCAACGGCCAACCAACACACTGCCAGCAATCCCGGACTTCACGGACAGGACTCCACTTCTCCTTCACGGGGCAGGAGGCCGTTAGCCGCGTTCGTACAGCTACAAACACTGCGATCACAGGAAAACGTCGACTGCGATCAACAGGTTGCGAGACTGCAGTTTTCCGGAGATACCTTTGCAGATGCTCTCCAGTTGATGGCCCATCATTTTCAGATGGAATGAAAGGCTGGTGATAGCAGACGACAGGGCGGAGTTGAACGTATCGCTGGCGATCATCCGGCAAACCTTCTCCAGGTCGGACAAAACATCGTCCACTGTGACACAAAAAGGGAATGTGAAAAAGCTTACCTCGAGAGCAATCAGCACTGAGCGCATTGGGCACAAAATATCAACGTTCCGGAACGAATACCGTCCAGGTCCACATTCATCGCATTCAGTTTGCAGGGGGTTGGAAGCACGCACCAAACACAGGATACAAAAATATCCAATGCATGAGACCGAGCCTAAATGACACGAAAACAACTTCTGAGTGGCTTCAGGGCATGCGCTTGATCGATAGCGACACCTGGGTGACGAGGGTAGGTGCAGCCAACTGAAGGTATTTCGGGAACATTTAGTATAAGCTGCACTGTTGGGCTCTGGAAAATTCCAGCGGCGACGAAGAGAAAATTTGGATGATCTGGGCTACCCTCAAGCCGTGCAAACAGATACCTCTCTTCGTGCACCATCAAACGGAAAGAAAGGAGAGCCCAGCTCATTCTATTCAACCCATACCGGGATCAATGGGTGTGGAGGACGACGACGAAGAAAAACGCACAGGCTACCTGCATACTTCGTTTGACAATCTTGAAGAGTTAGCTCCCCTTAAGAGTCGGGTCTAGCTTACAAACTAAATGGCTAAACTATGAAGGGTAATTACTAAGGATGTATCTAACGTGTTTGGGTTATAATTACAAAGTCATACGGCACGGGCTATTACCAAAGTCCCACAGCACGGATCATAAGTGACAAAGGCAATCGGGTATTCTTCAAGTACTTCACCTTTTTTAGAAGGAGAAAAATCTCCACCGCGAGCGTTTTACGCGCAGTGCGGCACGGGCTCAACCAGCTCGCGTTAGCAGGATTGCCCAACTTTGAAATCATACAATCCAAACGACATCTTTAGCACCAAAAAAAAATGAGCAGGCAATTAACATTATTCACTACGTCGTTTCGACCACTGCTACTCACAATGCTCGCATGATTGCCTATCATCTTCAGGAAATCACCATCTGATAATATAGTAATTTCGGCCACAAACAGGCCATATGATTTTTAACACGCAGACAGCCGATGATTTATAGCATGTACTAAAAGGGCAGCATAAGCACCAAATTACGTACATTCGAGCAATTAAGAAAAGCATCTCGGTTCTTTACATTTGTGTCTCGAATTGATGTTTCCAAACAGACAGCACAGAGAAAAACCCAACAATGTCAACGGAACTGAAGCATTTCCAGCAGTCTTAAAAAACGGACCAAGCCACGGGAACCAAGCACCGAAGCCAAGCCAACGTTTTCGGTACGGTACATTGACGTCTATTAGCGCAGTGCATCTCATACACGAGTCCGGATAATGTGATTCACACTTATTAGGACCAAACACATCGTGACGACATTGTCACTTAAACTACAACACTTGGGTTCAATTAATATGACTACTCCGTTGCCGTGACATGCTGTCATCATGTCGTGCAGAGGGACTGTCGTAGCACCCTCTTAAAGTAGTGCACCTATTGTACAATTTCAACGAGCAAGGCTTGATATCGCTCTGACATCCAAAGACATACTCTGCCGAGATATTATGCCAACAGCCACCCTAAGGAAACGGATCAAGCCCCGGGAAACGAAGACTGAAGCAAGGCCAGCGTTTTCGGTACGGTACATATACGTCTATTAGCGTAGTGCACCTTACACACGAGTCCGGATCATGCGATTCACACTTATTAGGACCAAACACATTTTGCTGATGATGTCGGTGGATATGCCAGACCACGGTCCGATGAATAAGACTCATGCATTGCCGTCAGATGTTGCCATCATTGGCGGACGGACTGCAAGTAGTACACCTCTGGTATAATTCCAATTGGCGGGACCTAAAAACCGCTCTGACATCCAAAGACATACTCTACCGAGATAATATGACAATAAAAATCCTAAGGATTTGGACCAAGCCTTGGAACCAAAGACTGAAGCTAGGCCAGCGTTTTCGGTACGGCACATATGCGTCTATTAGCGCAGTGCACCTCATGCACGAGTCCGGATCAGGCGATTCACACTTGTGGAAAATAACCACATCGTGCTGACAATGACGGCGGAACTGCGAGACTTCGGTTCGATGAATAAGACTGATGCATTGCCGTGCGATGCTGCCATCATGTGCGGACAGGCTGTAGAAGCACCCTCTTAAAGTAGTACACCTCTTGTATAATTCCGATTGGCGAGACCTAAAAACCACTCTGATAGGCAAAGACACCCCCCGCCGAGATAAAATCCCGACACGAGCCCTGAGGAACGAAACCAAGCTCCGGGAACCGAGGACCGAAGCAAAGGCAGCGGTTTAGGTACGGTACATATACGTTTAGTCGTGCGGGGCACCTGAAACAAGAGCCCTTTTAACGCGATTCACACTAGGTAGAAATAAACACATTGTGCCGACAATGTCGGTTGAGTTGCAATACTTTGATTCAATGAATAAGACTCATGCACTGTCGTGGGAGGTCACCATCATGTGCGGACAGACTGTAGTAGCACCTGAAAGTAGTGCGCCTCTTGCATAATTCGTTGGCGAGACCTAAAAACCGCTTTGTCATCCAAAGACACACTGTACCGAAATAATGTGTCAACAGCAATTCTAAGGGAACGGACCAAGCCCCGGAAACCGAAGACCGAAGCGAGGCCAACGTTTTCGGTACGGTACATATATATTTATAAGCGCAGCGGACCTTATACACGAGAGTACTTCCTCGGTAGAAAATGTTATTGGATGCCCCAGCCGTATTGAGGTCTCGACAGCTGGAATAATGCAAGAGGTACACAACTTTAAGAGGCTGCTTCTACGGCCAGTCCGCGCAATGTGATGGTGATATCTCACGGCAATGCATGGGTGTTGTTCATTGAACCGAAGTGTTGTAACTCAACCGACATTGTCCGCACGACGGCTGGCTGGCTGGCTGTTGGCATATTATCTCGGCAGAGTACGTCTTTGGATGTCAAGCGGTTTCTAAGTCTCGCCAATTGGAATTATACAAGAGGTGTACTACTTGAAGAGGGTGCTACTGCAGTCCGTCCGACAATGATGGCAACATCTGACGGCAACGCATGAGTCTTATTCATCGGACCGAAGTCTTGCATATCTACCGACATCGTCAGCAAGATGTGTTTGGTCCTAATAAGTGTGATTCGCATGATCCGGACTCGTGTGTGAGGTGCACTACGCTAACAGACGTATATGTACCGTACCGAAAACGCTGGCCTTGCTTCAGTCTTCGTTTCCCGGGGCTTGGTCCGTTTTCTTAGGGTGGCTGTTGGCATAATATCTCGGCAGAGTATGTCTCTGGATGTCAGAGCGATTTCAGGCCTTGCTCATTGGCATTGTACAAGAGGTGCACTTCTTTAAGGGGGTGCTACGACAGTCCCTCTGCACGACATGATGGCGGCATCTCACGGCAATGTATGAGTCTTATTCATCGGACCGACGTCTTGCATTTCCATCGACATTGTCAGCACGATGTGTTTAGTTCCAATAAGTGTGAATCGCATTATCCGGACTCGTGTGTGAGGTGCACTACGCTAGCAGACGTATATGTACCGTAGTGAAAACGCTGGCCTTGCTTCAGTCTTCGTTTCCCGGGGCTTGGTCCGTTTGCTTAGGGTGGCTGTTGGCATATTATCTCGGCAGAGTACGTCTTTGGATGTCAGAGCGGTTTCTAGGTCTCGCCAATTGGAATTATACAAGAGGTGTACTACTTGAAGAGGGTGCTACTGCAGTCCGTCCGCCAATGATGGCAACATCTGACGGCAATGCATGAGTCTTATTCATCGGACCGTGGTCTGGCATATCCACCGACATCGTCAGCAAGATGTGCTTGGTCCTTATAAGTGTGAATCGCATGATCCGGACTCGTGTGTAAGGTGCACTACGCTAATAGACGTATATGTACCGTACCGAAAACGCTGGCCTTGCTTCAGTCTTCGTTTCCCGGGGCTTGATCCGTTCCCTTAGGGTGGCTGTTGGCATAATATCTCGGCAAAGTATGTCTCTTGATGTCAGAACGATTTCAAGCCTTGCTCGTTGGAATTGTGCAAGAGGTGCACTACTTTAAGAGGGTGCTACGACAGTCTCTCTGCACATGATGGCAGAATGTCACGGCAACGGAGTAGTCATGTTAATTGAACCCAAGTGTTGTAGTTTAAGCGACAATGTCGTCACGATGTGTTTGGTCCTAATAAGTGTGAATCACATTATCCGGACTCGTGTATGAGATGCACTGCGCTAATAGACGTCAATGTACCGTACCGAAAACGTTGGCTTGGCTTCGGTGCTTGGTTCCCGTGGCTTGGTCCGTTTTTTAAGACTGCTGGAAATGCTTCAGTTCCGTTGACATTGTTGGGTTTTTCTCTGTGCTGTCTGTTTGGAAACATCAATTCGAGACACAAATGTAAAGAACCGAGATGCTTTTCTTAATTGCTCGAATGTACGTAATTTGGTGCTTATGCTGCCCTTTTAGTACATGCTATAAATCATCGGCTGTCTGCGTGTTAAAAATCATATGACCTGTTTGCGGCCGAAATTATTATATTATCAGATGGTGATTTCTTGAAGATGATAGGCAATCATGCGAACATTGTGAGTAGCAGTGGTCGAAACGACGTAGTGAATAATGTTAATTGCCTGCTCATTATTTTTGGTGCTAAAGATGTCGTTTGGATGTATGACTTCAAAGTTGGGCAATCCTGCTAACGCGAGCTGGTTGAGCTCGTGCCGCACTGCGCGTAAAACGCTCGCGGTGGAGATTTTTCTTCTTCTAAAAAAGGTGAAGTACTTGAAGAATACCGGCAATCGCCCGTACTGCCGCAGGCCCAACCCGTCAGCATGCACTCAGCTGCAATGGATACCGAAAGAAAAGAGGAAAGACTTGGTTCCCAAATAATTTACTGCTCAGAATGACACAGGTTCAAAAGCTCAAGCCGACCCCTGACGCGAAAGGAAGGCGCCTTTTCAAGGTAACCCTCAAGTCATCCACAGTTATCTTCACTGATGACTACTCAAAACAGCGAAAGAATTTATGTGCACAATGTAGGGTGCAAAAATATTGCAATTACGAAGACTGGAGTATGATAATGATAAGGACTGACTCAATGTACCACAGAGCAAAATTGAGGACGATACATAAAGTAGGAAATATCAAAAGATGACTTTTATCAGTGGTACCACAGCACATAAATATAAGGCAATTCGCGAGTACTTACTGCAGTCTTCTCCCACAAGATGTATACAAATCGCACGAATGGACGTCAAAAACAAGAAACTGGCCCCGTAGCAAACGCTCACCGCCTTTTCCAACAATGGAAGACGAACTGGCCGACTTCAGTGGTCGAGGCTTCTCAACTTTCCCGATCCGCATCGATTTGATTCCGGAAGACATGATTCTATGAAAATAAATGCAGTTATTCAAACAACAGGGCAAGTTAGTGAGTCATCACTCAAATCCGCTCGTTCCTTCAACCCTCTCAGCAACAAGCGGACGCGTCAAATTGAGACACAGAATGCATAACAATCCCAACTAAGTCGTTAACCACCTAAATGCAATGTGCAGAAATCTCACCTTGGCACAGAACAGTTTTGTTTGGCCAGCGTTGTCATAGCAACCATCAATAACTTTTTTATCTAATCGCTGACCATTTAAAATTGAAGTTTGTTGTCAGCCGATGAATTAAAAAAGAACAAGCTGGCAAACGCATGTCAACGAAGTGGCAATTGGGTGGCCGTGCATTGATTTTCTGTCTCCAACATATAATTTAATACCACCTTACGGTGATGATATCCGCACGTAAACCTATGTAAAGGTCATGCAATACAATATAATCTATTAAACAAAAGCAACACGGGTACGTCGATCGCATGGTTTGCCAACATGATGCACCAGGTTTTTATGTAAACGCATTGCCTGAAAACGTTTACATGGGGGTTCTGTACCGGGGCACAGCATGAGCCTTTGCAAAGGGGCGGGGCGCAACCGGTGGAAAAAAGACAACCCCGCCCGCAAATAACCACCGGCTATGACCCACTTGTTATTAATGGGCAGGGCATTCCCAGATTTATTATTATTTCTAACCTCTCTAACTGGAACCAAGGCGCGAAGCTATCGCAGTATCAATTCTGTTTGGATCTTGGAAAGCAATACACTGAAGGAATTGGGCGCTAAACGCATGCATGACATAACTCGCCGGCGCTCTTCATGTTACATTGGTTCAGTGAGCTCCAAAACCGACAGAACTCAGGAGCTTTGACTACCATTTTGATTTGGATTCTACAGATACGCAGAACCCCGTGAACGTAGCTCGTAGATCGAATGGATCAAAACTTGTCTAAACAGGCAAGATCTAAAAAAACCGGCGTATGAAGCAGACACGCACGTTCTCCGAAACGGCTCGTCCGATTATTTTGAAACATCCACCAAACGATTCTGTACTATCAGGTGCGTCGTGCGGAAGCAATCTCGAGACCTGACCTGAGGTTGTGAACCTCGAAAACGCGGGGGGGGGGGGGTGAAATTCTACATGCAAATGCAGCCAACTCGTAGCTCAGAACCTACCGAACTGATCGCTACTGAGGCCAGGTCACGTCAAATTTCACAAATTCCAAAATTCTTGCTTGCAGATAACTCAGCTCAGCACCTACTGAGCCGATCGATGTCCAACCTTCGCCATTGGATGCCCCATACCTGATTCCCCCACATCAATGAAGATTCGGTGACACTAGGCCAGGTCAAAAGTCGTCAAATTTCACAAATTCCAAAACTTTTACCTGTATAACAACTCATTCAGAAACTACCGCTCCTGATCATCTCCAAACCTTAACCACCCGATGGGACATTCCTAGCGGCTGCAATGTATGCCATGAAGCTATATGCTATCGCTTTTACAGTACCAAAGCGCGCGGGCACCTTTGTTTTTATTTCTTGCGGTCGTGCGCAATACAGCAACACCCTTTCTACATATTTTGTGCGCAAATGCAAGGGTGTCGCCTCATTCTTTGGTGGGCAAAGAAACACAGCACACTGTTCAAGATATTTAATTCGGCACATTCGGGACAGTCGCAATCATGGAATCAAGCATTGCCACGGCGGTCTGCCGCCGCGCACGCACGCTGAAGCTCAAGGTTCCCGTTAACTAAAGCAGAGACGTCTTTTCTGTCTGTCTTTTTGCCCCTGATTGCTTCTGGTGCTTGTACATCCGTGACAAGCTACACACGGAGTGCGGAAAGCATGTTCTCAAGAAGGATTCTGAGGTCGTTGATCCGTCACAGCAGTACAGCACACTGACCAAACTAGTCCATTTCGGCCCAGGCTCAGTTTGATTCGGCGGAGCTCTGAACGACTTGGAGCCAGCAACAAACAAGAGACTGCTGAGGAAGCATGCCTATAATGGCGACAAAATGGTATTAGCACACCCCACACATTGATCATCCACGTGCCACCACGTCTTCCACGGCCAAGGTTCTGTTAACCGTGGCGACGCCACGCACAAGTTTTCGGTACGACACCTCCGCTTAGGAGAAAATCAAACTCTTAAGCTAGCCGCCTTGGGCCAGCATTAACAAGCCGCACGTTTCTTTGGGAACAAACATAAAGAAGAAAAGGCGCAATCATAAATGGCAACATACTTGCAGCTCTAACAGATAATTCGGGTAAATGGCGTACTGAATGGAATGGTAAGGTTTGGCAGCTATCGGCGTGGTAGGTTCTGAGCTATGAGTTGTCTGCTAGCATAAATGTCGCAAGTTGTGAAATTTGACGCCTTTTGACCTGGCCTAGGGTCACCACATTTTCAACTGCAAGAGGGAACCAGGTACGGGGCACTCAATTGTGAAAGTTTGGCAGCGGTCGGTTCGATAGGTTCCGAGCTATGAGTTGTCCGCAAGCAAGAATTTTGGAATTTGTGAAAGTTGACCACTTTTAACCTGACCTACGATCACCAAATTTTCAACTACAAGCGGGAATCAGGTATGGGGCATCCAATGGTGAAGGTTGCACAGCGATCGGTGTAGTAGGACCTGAGATCTGAGTTGTCTATATTCGCATGCAAATTTTTCCCGCCGCGTTTTCAAGGTGTTTGACCTCGGGTCAGGTCTCCAAATTGCCTCCCAAGACTTACCTAACTGAACAAAATCGATTGGTCAAGGTTTCAAGGCGATCGGAGTACCTGTTTCGGAGCACATGCGTGCCCGCTTCATGTGCCGGTTTTTCAGACCCTGCCGTATTAACATGGCCCAAGCCATGCTTGTCGGGAAATGCTCAACATTTTGTATGGATCCATTAGTGAGCGCAGCATATACCGTATGTATGCTGTATGCAGTTTTGAGCATGAGCGATCGTAAATCTTAACAAAAACCTTGACGGCCGGCGTTGCAGTCTACATCGGCGGCACGGTGTTTAGCCCCGTGGCAAACGCTTAGCAGTGGCAAACGGACGAACGAAAATCTGGTGTCGGAACTGGTAGAGTAAAGATTGAATATCTATTTCTCGTGCTGCTTTAGCTGTTTATCCATCAAGAGGACAAGCTCCAAGTTGCCAAAAAAGGAAAGATATTCCCGAGTCTGACCTTTAAACGGCACGGATTTCATGAGATTTTGGAAGCAGTAGTTCACGACGGTCGTTCTCGTGAGCCATGCGCCCACCCCTAGTACTACTTGCTTGCCAATGCCGTTAAGTTTTATGGAAAGAACAACACCAGCCATAGCTGCTCTTCCTCCTGAGATTGCGATCGCGCAGGCTCATAGCTTTTTGATAAATAGGGGTTGGTCTATTTCATTTTTTTACCTTAACTCGATCCAATCTATTCGACACTTAAAAAACCCGATCTTTTCCTGTTAGTGGCCTCCTTGAGTAGAGCATTGGGTGGTTTGTCGGCCTTCCGGTCCAGAGCTGAAGGGCCGCCCCATCCCTGTGCAGGGCGCCTCCCGACTGCCATTCTGGCGGTACGGAAGCAGGGCCTCCTGGTCCATCTGGAAGTCCTCACACGAATACATCATGCTACATTGGTCCCCTCCCTGACGAGGAAGGCCTTCTGACATGCTCATTTATCCCCGGAGCGATGCAGGAACCCTCACTGACGCAACACCTCAACGCCGCAACGATCAGGAATCAGTGACGCAACGCCTCACTGATTCCTGATCGCGGTGGTGGTCCAATAATTGGCACATATATTTCAGTTCGGCTTACCGGGCCCACGGCTGAATTTGAGTTGGAGAGCCCACCATTCTGCACTGAGGCTCTGACCGGCACCGGGCCCTCCCATTGTCCTAGTGTGAACTCTTGTCATAGGCCATCAGGTTTCCTTTCATTTCATTTCCTTGAGGGCCCCGACCAACGCGAAAGCCCTGTGGTATTTGGGTTCCTGTCTCCATACGTGTTCAGCAAATGTTCCCCTGGTCGACTCGAGGCCCCTCGTTCACACAAGACACTCTGTTAAGCACTATGGACCCCTGACCGATGACCTGACCTCTAGTCAGAACCAAAAGCCAGCCATTCGAAATAAACAAGCAAGTAACCAGAACACGGGATTGACACGCAAGACAAGACCTGACCTGACCTCAACCAATGCAATTCCCGGGACTGGCCTTGTGCCTATTGGGAAATGCCCCTCCCCCAGAGCCAAGAACGACAGGGGTCACCATTTGGTGTTGATGACTTCTAGCCGAAATAAAGGAACGCACTTTCTCAGGGGTCCCCAATCGGAGCAAGAGACCTTCCAGCTCACACCTGAGATATCATCCGTACAGGCAGGGCTCCTTAATGTGACCTAAAGCCAGCCCTTCGGACCCTTCAGCCTTCCAATACGACCCTCGATCTTTGGTCTCGAGGGGCTCATCAAGTTCCTCTTCGGGCCCCCTCACACGCGACTACTGGTGTTCCGAGGTCCTTTGCCAACACAGGACCCCATGTCACGCATGTTGGGTCCACAATGGAGGCCCGCACTGCGCCACAAGTCCCCGATCGATGCAAGAGGCCCTCTGAGTGTCATTTGAAGTCACAGTCCTCCTGGGCCTGGGGCCGTCTTTATTGTGGCCTATGGTCAGTCCTTTCGCCTCTTCAGGTCTTCCAATTGGCCAGAATGAGCCTCTACAGGCTGGAATGGGCTCTCTGCAGGTCCAAATGGGTTCTCTGTATGCCAGAATGAGCTCACCACAGTTAAAAATTGGCCCTTTACTGGCCACAGCCCTTTCAGAATTAGGCCTCCACAGTTGGTTATAAGCCTTTTACAGATGAGAATGGGCCCTGTGCATGCCACAATGGGCCTTATACAGGCCAAAATTGGTTGTCTACTGCCAAAGATGAATCATTTAGTTAAGGCCATAACAAGCCATAGACAGATCATGATGGGCCCTCTATAAGCCAGAATAAACCCCCTAAAGGTCAGAATAGACTCTCATCAGGCCAGAATGGGCCTTTTCATCCATAATGGTTAATATTCAGATCAGAATGAGCCTCTCCAGGGTGGAATGGGCCATCCACTGTCAGTAATGGGTCTTTAACATGAAAAAATGAGCCCTCTACAAGCTCAGAATTACTCTCTTTTAATCAGAATTGCCATTTTGAGATAAAATTTATCTCATCCTAGTCAGAATAGCTCCTTTTGATTACAATGAACCATTCAGGGGCCAGAATGAGCCCTTAATAGATCAGAATGGACTTTTACAGGATTACACAATCCTGATACAGATCAGAATTGACTATTGACACACCAGAATGGGCCCTCCACAGGCCTGTGGAGTTAGAGAGTGTCACCACTCCAGCTTTCAAGTCGGGGAGTCTCCCCAACACTCCCCCAAGTTCCAACATGCTGGCTCATTTGGGGCAGGATTCAGGCCAATCCCCAATCTTGTTACATGTGGTTCTTGTTTCCTCTTCAGCTGGGGCAGAGGCATGGCTTCAGAAAATGAGATGGGAGGGGCTGAACAATGTAATACTGTGAAACTCACAGCCACAATTGCTAACAGTCAGGTTCATTCCAGATATGACCCACTTTTCTTTTAAAGTTGGGGGAGGGGGGAAGGATGGAGACCAAGTTGGGCAGAGGGCAGGGCTAAATGCCCCCAGCTAAAAAGGAAAATATTTTGCTGGCTGGAGGCCTTCTTCCCCCCCCCCCCCACTCTTCCTGGGCTCCAGCAACTAACTGTAAGAAAGAAAGTATGCCAAATCTGGGCAGAAACTTCTTTCATGACATCTTTTTGGGCTGGGTTGCATTCTTTCTATCCCTCTGCACCCCTCCTCATCTCATTTTAAAAAGACACACTTGAAGTGATTGTTACTGTGGCTTGCTACAGGCTGGCTAACCTATGCAAAATCAACTTTGTAATTAAACTTTCATGATTGTTGACACAGTTTTCCCACTTCATTTTTACAATTTTAATATGTGTGTAACACCTTCATATTAACGACTCTTAAGATTGCAGACGAAAAATTCAAGTGTTCAAGTCTCCAATACACAATACAAACATCTCACCTCGATAGAATGTTGGAGGGGGCGTCAACCGAGCTGATCTCTGCTCATCAATATATCATTTAACATCACTCAAGATGCAACACGGCCAAGAAATGACAGTTGACAGATTACTCACCTTATTGCACAGATGGCTGACACCCGACCACCAGCCCGGAATACCGCCGCTCGAATGTCCCAGCTACCCCGCCCAGATGGAGAGAGAAAGCTCGGAGGTTTGTTTTCGTGTTGGGTGTTGATGCTCGTGCACATTCAAGGAGCGATTGAAACCTGGATTTCCAAACTATCGGATCTGGTAGCCGCCCCAAACATCAACTTATGACGTCATAGAAGGCCCCAAACATTGGTTTACACGCGGCCGGGCGGAGGTCAAATTGCCCCCCCCCCCCCCGAAGGTTTCCAGAATAATTTACCAATGGTGCAGTGAAGCCACGCTTCACTCTGCCTACCTGTAAAACATTAAATAGGGGTCTTGAAGTATAGAGGTAAAAAATGTCCACTAGCCAGTCTCAGCTCTTGTCTCTCTTTGCCGCAGTAAACACCGTTCGATGTTCAAATTTCGTATTCACTGTATTTGCACACACAGCTACGTCTCTTCACACAATCGCTGTCTTCTCCACCTACTGCCTTTTTCCGACTCAGCTCGCCAACACAAGAACGAAATGTCCCCACCGCTCGACAGTTCACAGCTTGCTGCCCCGCCTCAGCTCTCTCTCTCTCTCTCTCTCTCTCTCTCTCTCTCTCTCTCTCTCTCTCTCTCTCTCTCTCGCCACTATTCCCCGGGCGTGGCATGGCGCCGCTGCGCCGGGCGTCCCCCCGCCCGTCGCCTCCCCGGCGTCAGGTTTCAGTGGAGACGGGCTGGCGCCGACTCCGCGACGGCCGCTGACCCCGTCCTGGACCGCACCACAAGCAATGTGCTATACATACATAACACGCCTCCGTACATCACATCACAGGTCTTTTAATGTAGACAATTTTATGTAGTTCGCAAGGTCGCTGACCTATGGCAGGTCAAAGGCAGGCCATGGCTGCACATTATTGGCATTTCTGAGGAATCGTTCAATGTGATGCAACACGGGAGCGCTGAGCAAAGCCATGCATATCTACGAAAGTTTCTTAGGCAATAAAGCGGTTTAATTTAGAATCACATCCAATTCCATTGAGCTAAACGCAAGTCCAAAGGTCAGAGCAAGTTCAAAACTAGCCTGCTTTTTACTCGGGCACTTATAGTTTTCAAGGGGTAGTTTCTGGTGCTCATTTCGAATTTGTTGATGACGGGGACCTCAGCAAAGATGTTCTATGCACTCTTTAAGGGTCACAGTAGGTCATTGACCTAAAATGACTTAGGTGTAATGACATTGTATTTTTGGGACCATACCTCCTAGTGTAATCCCTGACGCTTATTCGAAAAGAAAAAAAGGCGCAATGCCGTAGAGATTTGGTCACCTTGGTCTTATAAATGTTCAACAGGGTCACTGACGTCCTTGACCTTTTGCTTAGTGCAGGTATAGCGACTGCATGAGGGATTCGGGGGGGGGGGGGCAAAGACACCAACCTTGGTTTTGGCCCTTTTGCCTTATTTAACCCCAAGGTCATGACCTAAGAACCTCAAATTTTGACACAAGTGGGTCATGGTACCGGTCAATTTCAAGTCCATCCCACAGGCTCAGTTGGTTAGAGCTTCTGTCTTCCGATCCTCCCATCCGTGGCGTGGTGCGTTTGGGTCGCTTTTGTTCTAGTGCTTTCACAAGTGGGGCTAGACGTTCGCAGTGCTCCCACGCCTTTGTCGAACAAGACCAGAACATGCATGGAATGCTGTTTTTGTGGCGTGCAACTTATTACCAGGTGTAGGAATCATCGGTGTGAGCAAGCAACCAATTTGCAAGCTAACGCATTAAATTGGCGTCTTTTTCTGCGGTTGTGAAAAGTGCAGCTGTGGATGCAATACTGAGCGGAGTTAAGCACTGGGTCTGTCAGCCTACCTTGCTAGCTCAGAATTGTACATTGATGTCTCGAAGGATACGTGCAAAGTTGTGGCCTGTGTGCTTGATGCTACCTTGCTTCTTTGGTTCCTGCAATTGGATGCGCGTTGGACGTACGCTTCTTCGGCCTGCTTTGGTCGTTGGATGACTTATGTGATCTGCTTTGATCACTGGCCAGTTGCCCCTGGACGTTATCCGCGTCTGAGGGGCCCGATCAGCTGCAGGAAACCCGGCTTCCCTTTGCAATCATTGTGTTGGCGCTGAACGCCCTGCTTGCAATACACTGTACCGAAATCCCGCTCTCAATCCACTGATAGTATAAGTTTGAGTAACGAGCTTCAGGAATGGATGATCCGCATAACAAATGGGGGCCAACCTTTGCTCCCTCAGTCCAGGGAATCAGGGTTTCTCATTTTCACGGATGGAATAATTCGTCGGAGTATCGTCCTCCTCTGGTATGTTAGTATGCACACAGCGCTTCGGTCAGCTAACTCTTCGGCCGTCGGCAGGTGTGGAGTCCTTAGGACTGGATGACGTTTGGATTTCAGCCTTGTGTGCGTCACAACCCGAATTTTCTTGCTGAAATTCGAATTCTCTTCTCAGAATTCGAAACCGGGGTCTCCGGATTGAGAGACCAGTGTTCTACTATCCGACCTAATCGGGACGGATCAACGGATTAACTGGAGGTCCGCCCTTTCTGATTCAGTTATTTCCTGTTAGCCTATCTGGTAAAGCGCTAGCCTTGCAATCTGAACACATAGGTTCGAATCCCAGCATCGAATCCCACAGAGGGAACTTTAGCCCGAACACATGGCTGAAGGCTCAACATTCAGCCATTCTGAGAACTTCATGACACCGGAAAACGACCAGTTAGCTGGCTGAAACGTTGGGTACATGGCAGCACACCAGACAAGAACAATAGGCTGAACAGACTCGATCAAACAGACTATCACGGATAGGATAATCCGTGATATTAATACCTCACCTCCATTCTTCCCTAAAACTTCTCATTTTCCCATAGACTTCGTGGAAAGCGTCACGTGCCGCTCCCCGCCATCTGCTTGTACTGTTGAACTTTCTGGGGCCTACGGCGATTGTCGATCGTTTGTCTCAGACCACCTGGCCTCTCCCGTGCCGTCCGCACGTCTTGCAGATGTGAAACCGGCTGCCGTTTATTGCAGCGAACTTTTGACCGCGGCTCGATCAGGGTCGGCAGTCGCGACACATCCAGTGGGCAGCGAACGTCAGTAGTGGGGCGGTCAGATGCCTTGGCGCCCTTCCTCAGATGTACCTGTCCAGTGTCGAATCTCCACTCTTATCGCAGGTGCGCCAGTGATCGGCTTATGCACCGCAATGGATCGGAGCAAAGACGGGTTTGCCTCGCATGTTGGATCTACCACAAAGCTCCAGTCTCGGCCAAGGACAGAACTCCGCGGTATCCGCATGGGCATTAGCATAGGCAATGAAGCCCGCTCAATGTCTGTGTTCAGCAATAAGCTGCAGCAGGTGGTGCTCAAGTTTGGTGATCGTTTTGCATCGCTCAAACTGCAGGCAGCAACAGAGCCCGCTCCCAGAACATGGGGCGCTGAGCATCACGGACCTTGCAAAAATCGCAATGTAGCGAATGTTTTGCTTTGAAGTGGGGTCGGAGCGAACGGAAAGCACGCCCTCCCACGTGCAACCTAACCGCGCAGGCGCAGGTACGGCGATGGGGGGGGGGGGGGGACGGGGACGGGGTAGGCAATTCCGTTCTGCAGCAGCTGGTTCTCAAGTCTTGTCGTTTCTCATCGCTCACGCTGCAGGCAGCAACGAAGCCTGTTCCCAGAAGATGGGGCGCCTGATACCCTGCGCACTTGTAGAGATCGCAAGGTAGCATATGTTTTACTTCGTCATGTTAGATCGGAGGGAACGGAGAGCACCCCCACGTGCAGGGTGGCCGCCCAGGCTCACGCACGACAGCGAGCGGTGGCGGGGAAATCAGCAATTCTGTCCTGTGTTTGACAGTCAGCATTCCCTCTGTGCTGATGAATGCAAAGAATAGTCTTAAAAAGGCTGCTCACGCCCTCTGGAACGTCCTTACGCCCTTGCTCGGCCAAACCTTAGCAGCCTTCGCCCTTTTGCGCTTAAGCAGCGCTACACGGCTGTTGTAATGCCGTATTCCGGCTAGGGCACGGTGAAGAGTGTCGCCTCGGGACGCCCCTCCCCCTCGTTCAGTCTGGGTCTTACCAGTTCTCAAGGTTGTCATGTCCGCGCGGGCGAGTGTTAATCGGGTTTGACCCGCTATTGACAAATATGATTGATGCTTTGTGCTTCCAACCCCGCGCGCGCACGACTCGGAGTCTTGTCGGCAAACGTCCGTCAAGTTGGCACCACATTCACATTCAGATTCAGTTCCATATTCGGGATTCAGCGGACTCCTCAAACTGCCCTGAAACTTTGCACACAGGTGCAGTTTAACCTCCTGAACACAATGAGCACAAAATATCCGACCGGTACGCCCTATTACCGGTGATATATCAATATCAAAGATCGCAATAAAAAAGGCGGACCCCTTCAATTCTTTCTAAACTTCGCATGCTGGTAGATATTGACATTCTGATTACGATAAATACAAAATCTTGGACCGGTACGCTGTATCAAAAAAGTTATAGCTGTAATAATGTCAAGGTCGCGAATGCAGCACGTACTGCATTTTATCATGCTTAACTCAGTTTCATATTCGAAATTTAGCGGACTCCTCAATTTGGCCTGCAACCTTGCACACAGATGCAGTTGGATCTCTTAAGCACAGTGAGCACAAAATCTCGGACCGGTACGCCCTATTACCGGAGATATCACAATATGAAAGATCACAATAGAAAAATGCAGACTCCTTCAATCCTTTCCGAAATCCGTGTGTTGGTACATATTAGCCCTCTGATAGCGATAAACACAAAATTTTGGACTGGTACACTGTATCAAAAAAGTTATAGCTTTTCAAATGCCGAAGCTGCTTAGGTATGGCATACATGGGGCATGGATCACATTTTCTTCATCCTTGACTCAATGTTTGATATTGACATATCTCCGGTATTAGGGCGTGCCGGTCCGATATTGTGTGCTCATCGTGTTTAGGAGGCTAAACTGCATCTGTGTGCAAAGTTTCAGGGCAATTTGAGGAGTCCACTGAGTCCCGAATATGGACCTGAATCTGAATGTGAATGTGGTGCCAACTTGACGGACGTTGTCGGCAACTGCATTTCTGT